GTGTATCAAAGTAGCATCTTCCATACTTCAATGGATTAAGTTCATGGCTGTTTCAAGTTCATGATCTTTGAAACTATTTCCAATTACAGATTCCCACAACTGCCAGCTACAACATCCACGCATATATTCATGATTCATATTCAAAAATAGAGCATAGTTCAGGAGGGCTACAAAAAAAAATTATGTAACCACTTGTCAAATATGATACTTCAGAACATTACTTCTGTTAAAATGAAGAGAATGGTCTTAAATTCTAGTGCCTCAGAAAAGCTTTGATACAGAAGTTCTCACCAAAATTACAGCATGAAGCTACACAAGACAGATGCCCACTAACAATACACCTATGCAGACATTAATATGTATTTTTAACATGAATTTTGCATAGATAGGTATTTCCCACTGTTCTGCAGACATAGAAAAATTCTTTAGAGCAGCTGAAAGATTTACTTTTTTTCTTAACACTTCTGTAATTTTTAAGGTATTTTAGATTTCAATTTAATGATAACAGCAGTGTAACATAACCATTGCTGCACCACAACTGCATTTAAATATACCTTCTTCTACAGGAATTGGTTTCTCCAGGAGAAAAACTGTCTGTTTCCAGTGCGTTTTGGTACACTGGGGACCAGTTGAAAACAAGACCTGCAGCGGAAGAGTTCAAGAGTTTGATTAAGAACAGCATTTTTGATATCACACAACATCAATCAATTAAACACACATGCAAATGAAGTGCTTGCTACAGCAAAAGAGACTCCCCGCCAAACACCTTGAGGCAGAATAAAACACAAAACCACCCTCATCTCCCAAAGACTTAAAATGCACAACCCCAAATACTCACCTTATTTTGACAGTTCTTCTCAAAAAAGATATCAAAATACCCAGCAACTGCCTATAAAAAGGAGTAAATGCAAATATAATAAAGGAACAGTAGCGACACTTAAGAAAAAGTCTATCAATATATACATTTATTGGGATTTCTATTCCATTTCACGCACTGAGAGAAACAAGATTAGATTTATGCTAGAAATCCTAAGTTGAAAAAATAAGCAGTCATCGCACATTTGTTGTACTTGAGAATATTCAGCCCACTGAAAATGCACTTTATTACATGCCAACTTTTAGTCTGATTTTCCACAATAACCCACACATTAACTGCAACTAGAATTTCACAGAATAGACTTTCATATGCACAGACCCCAAAAAAAGCGTCAAATTCCATCCTTATCCTCTACAGCTACCACAGCCATCACTAAATTAACACACAGCACAAGGGATTCTGCATGACATGCTCACTCTTTGCATAGCTAAACACTATTTTCCATAAAAGCTCCCTGTGAACTGAGGCACAGCATGAACAGGCAGGGAATATTTCTCCTTCCTCTACTACACACACAGATAAGAGACAAAAGATTCCCAAATACTTCATGCTGGCCTTTCCAGCAGTTGGTAGTTTCTAATAGTAACTCTCCAGAGGATTCCTTGGAACACTTATTCTGTCCCTCCTGCCATCCCACTCCTAACCTCAAAAAAAGCCTCTCTTCAGTACATAGTTCATTAGCGGAAGAAGAAGAGAAAGAGGCACAAAATGCCTGCGCACAAAACAGTATATCAACACTATTAGTTATGCAGTCTTCTAATCCTAGCCTGTTTTTTGACAGAACAGCTTTATGAGTCCCAGATGCTACTAAAAGGCATTTCTATGCCACAGTTTCACCTCTGAAATCCTGTCCATGCTCACCTTTATTTGCTTTCTACTATCTTCTACGAAAAGCAAATCAGACCAAGGCATTTATGCTTTTCTATTATGTCAGCCTTAAGAAACAACCTAGAACACAGCTTTTGAGTAACAAACTACAGCAGCTGGGGACTTCATCCCAGTGACAGCAGGAAGGGACCCACCCTCACATCACCTACAGTACATTCAAACAAGGTATGTACCAATTCCATGATGGCAGGCCTGCTGCATGAAAACTAACTGCAAACAACTGATTATAACCTTCCTCTCACAGCATTAGTATTTTTCTCCTACTCTAGGAAACTGGTCGTTCTCAAGGGTTACAAAAGACAGTTTCTGGAGCGTGGCCTCACATACTCACAGACTATGAAAGGAAGACAAAAAATCAAATATGCTTACAAATGCAGGTAAACTGAATGGCACAAGGCTTTATCATTATGAAATATGTAAACTGAATGACAGCTAAACCATTCTGGTATTTTTCTTCTCTGGTCTAAATCCAGAACAGATTTCACCAACATTGTGGAGAACAGAGTGTGCTAAAGCACCTGTGTTTGCTCTTCAGCTAAGGGCACTTCAGAGAAGCCTTGCAAGTTTCAAATTATGATGTGGGCAAATATTCTTAAATGTAAGAAGCAAGGAGACACTGAGGGAGCTTCATGACAAATGAGCACCAGATGGTGGAAATGGTGACTCTTCCATCCCTATCACTCAACGCTGAGAAATTCGTTGCCAAGTGAATCACAGCCTTGTCTCTAATACGCCTTTTTGGGTAAAGATTAAGAAGGTTTTGACAAAGTTTTATTGACCCATCAGACTGCTTTTATCAAGGCACAATCTTTTCTGTGTATTCGTCAGAGATCTACTAAGTCATAAAAATACTTTTCAGAGACCAGGTCAATACAGTTGATATGCTTACAAATGACCTAGGATATGACTACTGCAGAAAGGAGAACAAGGTGGCAACAAAAACATAATAATTCAGAAAAAGAAATACTGGCTTCCAGAGAAAGCAAGACTATCAAGCTACGTTTTGGACAGAAAGCTAAAAGCTCCATGCAGACACACCATAGCTAAGGTGGATGCTTTTATCTATATATTTGGTAGAAGAAGTAACAAAAACACACTGAGAAAACATCCTCACATTGGCATTTTTATTTTGGGAGGATGAGGTTCAGACTGGAAAGAAACCATGGGTACAAGGAAAGAAACTGTCCTCTGCTATCTGCTGCCTCTTATGCTCAGGGAAACAAGATTTGTGCAATTTCTGTAACTGACTAGGATAAGTATCAACCTTATTTCATATATAATCAATGGTTTCCCTAACAGAAACAACCTGAAACACTGAACTTTGACTATCATCTAAATCAAGAGGTAGCAAACAGTAATTATTAAACATCACAAAGACTACCTCATGCAGAGCTTCAGGGATTACAGATTTACAGATTTCAAGTGACTACAGAGAACAGAAGCTCTACGCTGATCCATTAAATTCTTTTTCTTACATTCTAAAACGGATAGATGTCCTTCAGTATTGATACTGAAACAATTATTGAGCCAAAGGTTAAAAAAAAAAAAATGCAGACAAATATTCCAACAAAACAAATTCCACAAGTCCCATAGGATAAACCCTTGTGAACAGCTTCAAGCACACCAAAACCAAAACACACATTCTGGTGAGCTATGTCAACAGGCAGGCCCAGTCCTGCATAGCTGAATAGAAAGTATATGCTTATAATTAAATAGATCCAGGGGAGAGTTTGAAAGATGTTTTGAAAACTCTTAAGAGCACATATTGCAGTTTCAAAATCTAATGGGTATCTTTACTAACAGATTTTCAAACCAGTTTTGAAACAACTAATAAAAACAAAACACACACATGGCTTGACCATCTTTCTTTGCAAAACTGGTTTCAACTATGTAATTTGTTTTTAATAAACATTTTAAGGCAACCTGCCATAATTTACCAATGCTGCATTTAATATCCAGATAGAAATCTCTTGCATGTGTTTCACATTTTTGGGAAAACAAGACTAAGCTGTAAAATTTGTTCAATCATGGCAGCTATTCCACAAGCCAATTACAGCTGAGGAAATCTAGAAAGTGAAACTGCACAGAACCTGTTGCTTATGCTGTAAAACAAGAAACCAAACCAAAAGTTTAAACCTGCTATTAAACAGAAGTAGTTATTTGCCTACACCTAGGTAATAAACATAAGCTCAAGTGTATTCTAAAGCCTTCCAGTAACTTCAGCCTAAATTAACTGCCTTCTTCCTTTCCTCTTTTTGATTTTACACAGAGGATTTCGGTGATACGGTTTAGTGGTGGTCTAGGCAGTCTGGGCTAATGGTTGGACTTGACGATCTTAAAGGTCTTTCCAAACCTAGCTGATTCTAGACTGCATGTTCCCCTACCAATAACATAACCCTTAAAAAGGCATTCAACCAAATTATGCATTATTTTCATGAGTATACTCCATTTTATTTAACAATTCATTCCACCCACTCCAATACATCTGTGTATGAAACTGATGGTTCAAATAAAAGTTTAATGAAAAGAAAAAGGTTGGTGGTCTTCAATGCTAAAATACAGGGGGGCATGAAGGATCCCAGTGTAGCTCTAAGACCTTTCTGTAGAAAGCAAGCATGTAAGGAAGGAACCCAAGTGAAAGCAAGGCCTCAAATTTACGCTTAATCTAGAAAACCTCAGCCTAAAGATGAGGTAGGTCTATGTCAAAGAACAACCATTTCCTTTACCCAATTTTATGATTTCTTCATACCAGGAAAGTTGAGAGCTTCTTACAAGCTCCCAAGCTTTGCTTTAAGCAACCTAGGAATTCAAAGGATAGACTTTTATAGCCTTATTATGATGGCCTGGTTTTATTCATGTAGCACAGACTAAGTGCAAATGCTAAAAATTAATGCCTACCACAGTATTTTAAATCCAGGGTGTACCTTTTTTCATTACAGCTCAGTTTTATAGATCTTTTTGTACTCAAGCTAGTCTGCTATTAGGGGAGCCACAAAACAACTGATTTTCGAAAAATCAGTCAATGACACTGAATCTTAAAGACAGAAAGAGTTGTGGTTTGTTTTTTTTTTTTTGCCATGTCAAAGGCTATAGTAAAATCTCTGACACCATTTCCCAGGTCCAGAGAATAGCAATAAAGCAGAAAAAGGGTCTAGATAAAAGTCTGATGAGGAAGGGCTGAGGGAACTGAGGGCATTTAGTTTGGAGAAGGCTCAGGGGGACCTTATCACACTCTCTACAACTATCTCAAAGGAGGATGGAGCCAGGAGGTGGCTGGTCTCTGCTCCCAAGTAACAAGTGACAGGACAAGAGGAAACAGCCTCAAGCTGCACCAGGGGAGGTTAAGGGCTGGGTATTAGGAACAATTTCTTCACTTAAGGGGTGGTCAGGCATTGGAACAGGCTGCCAAGGGTAGTGGTGGGGTCACCATCCCTGGAAGTGTTTAAGATGTATAGATGTGGCACTTATAGAATCACAGAATAGTTAAGGTTGGAAAGGACATCAAGATCATCTAGTTCCAACCCCCCTGCCCATGGGCAGGGATGCCTCACACGAAACCATGTCACTCAAACCTTTTGTCCAACCTGGTCTTGAACACCGCCAGGGATGGAGCATTCACAACCTCCCTGGGCAACCCATTCCAGGGCCTCACCACCCTTACAGGAAAGAATTTCTTCCTTATATCCAATCTAAATTTCCTCTGTTTAAGTTTGAACCCGTTACCCCTTGTCCTATCACTACAGTCCCTAATGAAGAGTCCATCCCCAGCATCCCTATAGCCCCCCTTCAGATACTGGAAGGCTGCTATGAGGTCTCCATGCAGCCTTCTCTTCTCCAGGCTCAACAGCCCCAACTTTCTCAGCCTATCTTCATACGGGAGGTGCTTCAGTCCCCTGATCATCCTCGTGGCCCTTCTCTGGACTTGTTCCAACAGTTCCATGTCCTTTTTATGTTGAGGACACCAGAACTGCACACAAGAGTCTCACAAGAGTCTCTTGAGGTCTCACAAGAGCAGAGTAGAGGGGCAGGATCACCTCCTTCCACCTGCTGGTCACACGCCTTTTGATGCAGCCCAGGATACAGTTGGCTTTCTGGGCTGCGAGCGCCCAGAATCATTCAGGTTGCAAAAGACCTGTCTCTATGTCACTGGCAAAGTACTGGGGGATATAAAGCTGCAATACAGTTCTAGTTATTTCTCTTATCAAATGCTTTACAGAAACATTAAAATTCCTGCTTCTTCATAAGGCAGCAGGTAGTTTTCCTCAAAAGAGCTACTAAAACCTAGGATCTCTGATTGCATTACAGAAGCCTACTTCAATACTCCCAAACAGAACAGCTAAAACCCCCTAAACTAAATCATCTCCCTACCATTACCCTAAGGTACATTAGTGTAAGCCTTGCACCACTACAGAAAGGATCTGGTACCCCACATAAACAGCTTGGGAAAAGAAAAAAAATACCAAACATCTGCACAAATCAATGTTGAAATACCTGATGATACAAAACTAGGTTTAAGACTGGGTTTGGTTAATATTTTCTTTTGAGGAAATTATAGCTTCCCTTACCCTCTTGGCTTTTTTTATTTTTATTACTTGGTAGTGGCTTTATCCTGAAACTCACAACACACATCTTTAATATTTAAGCACATTCCAGTGAAATAATTTTATGAAAGTGAAGTTCAAAGCATTTTCCTTTCATTTCACTTTTGAGAACTACCACAAATAGCAGTAGCTGTAACAATCACACGCTTCTATTAAAGATGCAATACTACAAAGAAAGTAATTTCCGATGTTTACAGCTTGAAGGAAGATTAAGTCCTCCTGTAAAATTTAACACATGCAGCTAAGCAGTAAAATATAAGGGGGAAAAAAATTATCTGCAAGTGGCATACTAGAAGCAATCACAGACACAATCATATTAAAATGGAATATAGGGCTGGCCAGATTTTTATTAAGGGTGGCATCTTCCTTACAAAGAGTCAAACCTAAGAAAAGGAAGAAGCAAACAACGCCCCCATAAATTCTATACAATGTTTTATAACTATTGCTTTAGGTGCTGGGTTTTTTTGTTTGTTTGTTTGTTTTTAAATAAACGGTACAATAACAGTTATTTCCTCCACAGCAGTTTTTCTCATCTTTTTGCTCCACCTTTGACAGCTCATTTACAACTTCCCCAATGACTAATCAGCAAGAACTTGAGCCTTCTCTGGAAGAATCTTTCAAGTGCCAGTTTCCTGAATACCATGAAGGAGGAAAACAAAAATAACGACTTCTAAAATGGTAATAAATAACTGCAGCTCCAGCCTCAAAGGATGTTAAATATTGGGAAACACCACAGAAATATTATCCTTCGTATTCTCCTATAAATTGCCAGGAGAAAAGCAGAGTTATAAGAACAAAATCTTCAACCCCTGAACAAAGTTTCCATATTTCCCCAGGGAACTAAGAGGGTTAAATAAAGAACTAATGAAATATTTAGGAATAGATGTACATTACAGAGACTGCAAAGCATTATCCTATACAGGTCAACAAAGAGTTTGCTCAACTAAGAAGAAAATATTTCCAAAATTACAATAGCAGCTGCTAATTTCTACCAAAATTTTGTCAAACCCAGGTTTCGATGAGGAGCTCACAAAGCAGCTTAAGGTCTTCATCCATCACTGAGGGTTTCTAAGGTGTTAATGTAAACATATGAAAACCACCCCTCGTAAATGAAGTATGTCCTCCCAGTAAGAGTCACGTGCCTTTAACATATTTTTCTTCCCCCCCACACAAATTATCTTGAGCCTATTTTTCCACCATTTATTCACGTAACATGCACCAAATATATTAAGATCACAAAAGGCTTTAACATATGTAACAGATGTGTATTAGTGCATATTATTTCAATCCTTCCACTTACAGCCCTTACTGAAATTGGAAGAGAAGCCTATATTTTATTTCAAATATATCTGAATACTAAGGGTTTTTTTTTCTGAAGAAAATGTTTGGCTGTATATGCAGTATTTTAACAGGATAAAACAAATGAGACTGTGTGACTCCTTGTGAGAACTCATAAGGGCAACCTTACCAATTCACTTAGGAACAAGGAAATTAAAAATTATCACTATTGCTATCACCTACACTGAGTCATTTATCATTCTTGCTCTTCACTTCTATCATGTTCCAACAGTGAGTGGCTACAACAAATACAATTAGCCAGCTGGCCACAGAAGTGGGAGATAATGTGCTTTTGATGGAGTTTATCCAAGCATGGAGATGGAATGTTTGTCATCCACACAGCAGAGTTGCTGCATTTTTTTATCCCAAGGAAAAGAAACCCCTCACGCAATGATTCTGTGTTTTAAAGAGACCAAGAATCTGGAGATCTCTGTAGAAGAGGCTACCAACAACTAAACAGATGAGAAAGACAAATCCTGCATTCTAACATGATAAAGTAGTCTTTCATTTAAACAGAAATCAGGCATTTAAGGTGTGTTTAACCACGGTACTCAAAGCCAGATTTCCAATTAGCTTACAAAATTTAGTTTCTCACTTAATGTTGCAATTAAAGATTAGTATCCTAATGCTTACTGGTGGCTCCCAAATGGAAAATTTGGTATTAAGAAATTAAACTGTCTAACATTTAAGAAAATTCTAACAAGCAAAGATTTTCCTTAGACAAAATATTTTTCTCCAGTCAACTCAACTTCCTTTCTCCCCCTAAAGGTTTTAATACACCAGTCACGTCCTCTGGTTCATTATCCTTCTTTCACCCGCTTCCTCCCTCCCACTTTTTATACACATCCACTGCTCTTTGACAACATCTCCTGGGAGCAATGAAGAGATACTGCCATTTTCCTCCCAGGGGATATTTTTATTCAGCTAGGAAAGATCAACCTTGATGGACTCACAGGGGAAATGCTCACAGACAAAAGAGGAAGTTTGTCAATTGATTTCTACACTGAGGGTAATCATCATTATATGTTATCTCAAAAGCTCACACAGTGATCAAACTCAGAATACAATTAATGGAATATTTTCCTAGCAGCATCTACTAACTGATATTAGCCAGATGTCTCATTAAAATCAGCAGTGACAAACCCTAGCTCTTTCTTAGGAAAATGCACTTTTGCAGGCTAATTAAATTTATTTTTGGCCATTATCTTTTGCAAGACTGAAATCAAGGCAACTTGCCCTAGAAGTGCTTTGAAACAATTTCATATAATGATTCTGTGCAACCATTTTATGCTTTGTAAACCTTCAGTCTTTGAAGCCTAAATAATGATAAATAAACTTACTGCTAAAAATACTGTTTTGTGATGTACCACAAGAGGAATAAAGGAAAAGTCAGTAGGAAGAACATATGCTCTACAAAAAGCCTTGACACCCCTCACCAATAAATCCTAAGCACAACATAAGGTCACACTTAAAATGTTTATTTTTCACTCAATCTTTATATATTTCTCAGGTTTGATAGCAATTTTTTTTTTCCTGAAGACCTATTTAATTGAACACCTGGAAGAAAACCCCTATTTGGAGCATTAAGCTTTTTTTTTTTTTTTTAAGGATATGACTCAATAAATGCATTACAGGATCATCTGCAATACCCTTAGGATATACCTACAGAGAGACATCAGGCTGATCTGTTATGAGAATGACTTAATTACTTTGCTAGGATAGGCTTTTTTGATCATATAAAAGTATAAGAGTTAATTCAAAATATTTTACAGATGGAAGGACAGAAACTCGGGTATGAGTCAACTAACACTATGATCTTACATTTTGGGAATTGCATAGTTCTTCTGTTTTGTGCATGCTCATCGCTAATTCTAGGCATTTATGTCCTTAGTCTATTTATCTAAAACCAGAAAACAGTTATCCTGTTGACTTCTGAACTGCAGGGTTTTTGAACAACTTGTACAATTAAATGCCACTATCATGCAACCAGATAATTAGCCAAGAGGTCAGAATAGCAATAATTGTGATATCTAGAAAGAAGTACCTATTTCAGCACTTGCATTATCAATTTTCAGGAAGTAAAAGGTTTGTACTACAAACAGACAAAATGGAGAGGGGAAAAAAAAAAATCCAAAGATGAGCAAAAGGTGGGTGACAAGGGCCAAAGGTCAGCCTTGAGATTAGGCTAGTCTTTCTGTGCTCTTTTCAGACAAGGAACAGAAAAAAAAACCTCTGTTCCTAACTCTGCCAGGAGAAGCTTTCCCACAGTCTTTATGAAATCCTCTCAGAAGCGTTCACCAAAACAGTTTACAAGAACAGAAATAACGTATGGGGAAAATCAAGAAGAGGTCAACTTCTCTGCTGAGACTAATTTGAAAAGTCAACTGAAAGTCATGGCTCC